TGACATACCGATAGGCAGAGGTCTTCCTAGCTTGTTTTTTATTTTTCCCAATGAAAACAAAGCCCAGGCTGTTTCCTGGTTTTTCTTGTTTTTCTTTCTAGCTTTCCTGGGCTCATGGTGCCGCCAATGCAGATCCCCCCACAATTAAAATCCTTTTGTAAGGTAGCCACATAAGGAATCCTTCGTAAAGGCTGCTACACAAGGAATTTATGTGTGGAGCGTCTGCGCCATACAAATACCGACAGTCACGGGTACTCCTAGTTTTTTGTTCTCAGTGAAAACACATGTTTTTAAGTATTTCTCGTGTTTTTTGTGTTTTCCTTTCTGGCATTCTTGGGCTCAAGGTGCCGCCACTGCAGATCCCCCCACACTTGAAGTCCTTTCGTAAGGCCGCCACAAAAGGAGTAACTTTTTGTACCGGCTGCTATGAGAGAACTCTAACTGTGGAGGCCCTTGCAGATCCCCCACCCTTAAGATCCTTTTGTAAGGTCGCCACAGAACGAGTTATTTTGTAAAGGCTGCTACAAAAGGATAGTAAGTATGGAGGGTCTGCGCCAAAGAAATACGGACAGTCACAGGGCTTCCTCGCTTTTTCTTATTTTTCCATGTGAAAACATATGTTTATCCTGTCTTCAGTTTTCCTCTCTACTTTTCCGGGGCTCAAGATAAATAGGTCTGAGCTCTAGAACACCGCTGTGCACGATACTTCGAATTCTTGTGCAAGGTCACCACAAAAAGGAAAATGTTTGCACAGGCTGCTATGAGAGGGTTCTAATTGTGAAGGCCACTGCATATCCCCCCACAATTCAAATGCTTTTGCCACAACATGAATGATCTTGTAAAGGCTGCTACAAAAGGATTGTAAGTGTGGAGCGTCTGCACCATAAGAATACCGACAGTCACAAGTTTGTCTAGCTTGTTCGTATTTCTCCGTGTGGAAGCAAAGGCTTGTTCCTGTTTATCTTGTTTCTTTTTGTTTTTTGGTAGGCTTTCGCGACTCCGCGGCAATGCCTCTGATGAAAAAGACACCGAGGATGACCAGGAAGCGCAGGAGGAGGAGGAGGAGGAGGAGGAGGAGGAGGGGGAGGAGGGGAGGAATGTGGAGGGAGGAATTCGATGAGAGACCACGATGGGAATAAAGAATACGATGAACATGCATGATGAGTAAATCGATGGTCAATAGCGTTCCAATCGCTAGGAAGTCCAGCAAATAAGGTTTGTTGTGCTCATACAAAGAAGAGGTCTCACGGGGGGGTCCCTTGCCTCGCGGGGGGCGGATCCTGCCTTCCCTGCATTCCTCTGGGCCTCCTAGATGGGGTCCGAGTAGATGGGGTCGGAGGATCGCGCCGCACAGCCAATGCATCGGCGATGCATCAGCAATGCGGCTCGATGTGGAGTCCGATCTTCTTGACGCCGACGTCGCCGATGCATCGCCGAGGTCGCCAGTGCATGGCCGATACATCTCCGATGCATTCGCGATGCGGCGAGATCTCCCGACCCCATCCACTCGGACACGCGTGGGCGGATTCGCCCCGTTGCCGCCGGCGCCGCCGCGAAGGGCGCCTCGTGAGCGCCCAGTGTGCCGGGGGTGGGTTTGCCGAGGGTGCGCCACGTCTTGCCGGCCCGCGGGCGCCTCTGTGGGCGCCTCTGTGGTCGCCCTGGACGAGGAGCAGGAGGAGGGAGGAGGGGGGAGGAGGGGGGAGGAGGGGGGAGGGAGGAGGAGGAGGAGGAGGAGGAGGAGGAGGAGGAGGAGAGAGGAGGAGGGAGGAGGAGGAGGAGGAGGAGGAAAAGGGGGAGGAGGAGGAGGAAAAGGGGGAGGAGGAGGAGGAGGAGGAGGAGGAGGAGGAGGAACAAGAGAAGGAGGAGGAGGAGGAGGAGGAGGAGGAGGAACAAGAGAAGGAGGAGGAGGAGGAGGAGGAGGAGGAGGAGGAGGCCTCTGTGCGCGTCCCTCCTCCTCGGGCACGCGCTGGCACGGAGCGGGGTGGCGTCGGTCCTGCGCGCTTTGGCGCCGGGTCCATGGATCGGGGAGGTGTGGGCGATTCGCCGGGCGAAGCCGGAAAGGTGGCCCTCGGGACAAACGACACGGGTGGGGAAAGAATTGGCACAATGCCCAACAGTAGTTCTTGTTCATTTTGGATGGGGCTCGCTGTCCGCGCCGCCGCGGCCTGTGTCTATCTGAGACAGGAGGCCGCCTGCCCAACAGCGGCCGCTGCTGGTTTGAAAAAACATTTGCTGTTGGGCATTGTACCCATGTTTTCTGTACCCATTTCGGGCGTCCAAGGTGGACGAGCAATTTGCGTGCGCAGACCTGCGCGATTGGTTGCCGTTGGCATGTGCCCCAGATTTACGCTGGACCCCTCGAAACGTACGGTGCCGCCCGATTTGGGCACAAAGCGCGCCGATTCCGTACTGAAACGGAGCTTGTCCCCAGTCCATCGTCGTTGATCATTGTTCGCGCTTCCTCGATCACCCTGCCGTTGCTGCCGCGAGTAACGCGGACAGGAATTGCGACCCGCCCGCCTCATGAATTCGGCTGCCCGTGGGCGTCGCGGAGAAGAGGTGGGCGACTGTCCGCCCCGAGCGTGCACACAGAGCGAATGCCAGGGACACGCATCATCAACAGGCGGTGGTAGCATGCGCCAAGAGCAGAACACCATGACACTCGCGAGTAGCATGTACCAGGGGCAGACTTCAAGAGCAGTCACCACAACCGACGACGATCAGTCAGGTATACAGCTCAGCATACAGAAGTGGCTGACACCACTGGCAGCAGGCAGCAAGGACAGCTGTAAAGAGCACCCACGCGCACCAATAACATGCACCAGCAACGCACAACCAGCGCAGCCACGGGCAATACATGTGTCAATAACGCGCGCCAGAAGCACGCGCCTCAATCAAATGCAGACAACACTTTCACGCGCCACTAAACTATACTGATACGACAGTCTATCACACACACATGCGTGTCACAATTTCAGAGCATGCGCATGCCAAGAGCCCCACAGTCAGAGCCCCACAGTCAGAGCCACACAGTGATGCTGAATGCATCACAGCCCCACAGTCAGAGCAGGCATTAATACCACACGCAAACGACATGCAGCTCTTTCATACCCCGGTGACACACAACATTGATTTCGGAAGGGTCGCAGCAGACACCACGCGCACATCAATAACATACATAATCGGCACACGCTGAGCGAGCGTATATGAACATGCGCGAATCACACAGGCATCGCATGTTCAACCAGTACTATTCATAAGACTGCATGCGCACATGGCAAGTTCATATAACATGCGCAACGACCTTCATTCATTGTTTTGTGTACCACGTGACATCGTGCAAGGCCACTCGCACCAGCTCCCCAGTGGGGACCGCCCGAAGTACGATGATCAGTCGTGGGCCAATGGACTTGACGCCTCGGAGCTTCACTGAGGAGCAAACACACCAGCTCATGTTGTTCGTGGCGGAGGACACCTGGGTCTCGGCGACGCGGCGAGAACGCGCTCGCGATGCGGCGGGGCCGTCGGTCGAGCATTGCACGGCGGGATCGTCGGATGAGAAACGCCTCTTCTGCAGGGCTGGGCCTTGGGATAAGCACTGCGCGCGTGTGAGGCCCGCTGGCGCCGTATCCACCCGTCTATCCAGGCGTTCGGGCGTGGTCGCCCTGTGCCCTACACTTTTTGGAGCTCTCTGGGAGCCTCCAGGGACCTCCCGCAGCCTCTGGGGAGAGTTCCTGGGGAGCCGATTCGGGATGCAACGCCAGTCCCGAGGCAGTGGGCGGGAGCTCCGAGTGCCGGGAACTCGAGCAAGTCGAGTCGTCGGAGGCCCGGGTCCTGCAGAAGGACCAAGGCCTCCGTATTGACGCCCAGAGACGCTCAACCGAGAATGCAGGGGCATCCGTCTTGACTTTGCCCCCCCCTAGATTTCTGCGCGGCAGACTCAAGTCCTTCTCCTACTCTCTCCATCCTTCCGCCCTCATCTTTCTCCTCATCCTTTCTTCCTCTCACTCGCCAGGATCCGGCTATCAGGGTTTGAAGCCTCGAAGTCATCATCGTCGTCATGCTCGTCCTCAGTCGCACGCCCAGTGCGCAAGGTGATTCCAACGGAGTACGCAAAGCAGAGGAGTTGGCGCATTGGGCTGGGGAGAGGGGAGGCTACGACATCTGTTGCACGCAGGCGGTTTCGGCCTCGGCGCTTGGTGCATCCTTCGACGCACGGTCGCTCCCAGCCACTCCCGGCCTGTGGAAACTGGCTGGATGCAGCTGATTCGCCAGCTCCTCCACCCACACTCTGGATCCCATGCTTCCAACGAGCCAGCTGGTTTCCCCAGGCCAGCTCGTCAGCCAGTCAGCACCTAGCTGATCGCTGCACCGGATGCCGAGCCACGCTCCCTCACCCCCCCCCCCCGCGAGCCCTCACGCTGAGGGCTGCTCGGGCCAGCGCGAGCCCCTCCGGCCCTCCTCGTCCGCATCCCCCTTCCCTTCCGACCCTCCGCCTCGGCATTCTCTCTCTCTCTCTCTCTCTCTCGCTCTCTCTCTCACCGGTGCGAGGGAGGGAAATAAGCAGCAAGATGCGCAGGACTTGTGACGTTCCAACCTACTTCCGCCTTGATCACCAGAAAGAAAGAATTCCGACCCCCCCCCCAAAACTCGGGGGTTTTCCGGTGTCGGGCCCTGGGAGACATTGTTTCGACACTCTTTCGACATTCGTTCGACACTTTTCTGGGAGCTCGAACTTATTTCTGTGATGTGGTCCTTTAAGTACGATGGGAGCAACATAACGCAGGACGAGGAGATTCAAGGAGAAGGGGGGAGGGCGAGGAGGAGGGGCCGTGGGAGGGGGCGATGGCGAGGGCGAGGAGAAAGATGAGGAGGAGGAGAGAGCTTTTCTCGTCCTCCTTGTCAGCCTCACCCGGTACCCAGCTGGGCTCAAGCGCGCGCGGCTCGGGCCCCCCCGTTGCTTCGGCCGCCGGAGAAGCCGCCCCCCAGCTCTGGCAGACATGGGGGACGAGGAGGAGAAGACGCAGACCCCTGCCCCTGCGGAGCCGGCGATCGTGCCCGCCCCCGAGGGCGCGGTGGAGATGAAGGTTCTCAGAATGAAGGGGATGGATCGAGGACTTTTTTGGGGTCATCCGTTGTTGGGCTTCCAGACGCCTCTGGACGCCTCTGGAGAGGTCCGGGGACCTCAGAGAACAACTCTCGGCCCTCGCCTTGGCGTCCAAGCCATACCAAGTCGTGCCAGCCACCTGCTTCCCCTCGTCCCCTCGACCTGGCGCCCACTCCTCCGTTTATGGACTGGTGGCGGGGGTTCCCCGTGAGGTTGGCATCAAGGGCTCCCCACAGCGGGGGCAGGAACTGCCGCGTGCAGCCGACTGCGGCCCCGCTGCCCAGTACCCTCCTCGATGCGCGCGTCGCGCCAGGCGTGCCTCGGGGCATTTGGAAGACCAGCTACCTCAAGCCGATTCGTCGACCCCCCCTCTACGTCCCCCCCTTTCCGCCCCTCCCCCCCTTCTGTTGTGGAATGTATGCTGCCAAATAACTTCCAGATGTCTGAACATGTTTCAAGCTTGATTGAACCATGTTAGAAAACATGTTTTAAACACTTGTATAGCATGTTTCAAACATTTAAAGACATCTTCAATTCAAAGATAGGACTATTAGAGTGCCCGTTGTCATGGTATCCCCCCCCCTTTTCTGGAAGGTGACCACGAAGAAGAGCCCCGGTTTCTACATCCGTGCCGTGGCCAGCTTCCTCAAGGGCGTCGAGGAGCGCCCAGCCACGGACGGCAAGGAGAAGCAGGAGGCCAAGGCCGCTGTCGAATACCTCCGCGTCTCGGGCCTCGGTGACGCCATCACCACGGCGTCGCTCGCGGCGTCGCAGGCGATGGCCGAGGGCCTGTGCGAGGTCCTGAAGGTGCAGACGGCGTACCCGTCGATGGAGGGCTCGGGGCGCGGCTGCGCGCAGATCGTCATCGACCTCAAGACGACGAAGAAGTGAGGCCGCCCGAGCGCGGGAGCTGGGGAGGCGGCGGCCGTGTAGGATATATCGAGGAACAGACATATGCATGGACACAAACTTCTGGATCTCCGCGTGGAGTTCCTGGATCGGCGATGGGCCCCCCCCTGGCGGCGCCTCCAGGGACTCCGCGCGCCAGAGCGTGGGCTACGCACCCCGCTGCCGCTCCCAGGGCGAGCTCGAGTCACACACAGCGTGCCCCATTCGTGGAAGCGGCCCGACCACCGCGGGCCGATACAGTCGGGGCGCGGAAGAGGGAACCCGTTTTGGTTGGGGAGGGGCTCCGCTTTCCTGAAGTGTTTCACAGCTTGCCTCAGGTTTCTTTTTCTGTATTCGACAGGAAGTCGAAGTTTAGCTTATGGAAAAAAGGGGCCTCCTTCCTGAGAGGGAACCCTTTTGGTTGGAGAGGGGCTCCGCGTTCCTTGAGTGTTTCACAGCTTGCCTCAGGTTTCCTTCTATGTTTTCGATCGGAAATCGAAGTTTAGCTTCTGGAAAAAAGGGGGCCTCCTTCCCGATTTCGGGTTCCTCAGGTCAACGCCCCGACTGCAGTTTGGCATCGTGTGAGCGGCTCTGGGGGGCGAGCGTGGTCTAGACCGAGTCAGGTTCGTTTGCCTCCTCGCGCGGACCGTCGAACGTGTATGCCTGCGTTTGTTCCTCGGAGAGTGCATGCCGCAGGGGCGGCTGCCCTGTGGCGCCCGAGCACCCGGAGGAGGAGGAGGAGGAGGAGGCAGAGATCAACGACACGCGATCCTCCTCCTCCTCCTCCTCCTCCTCCTCCTCCTCCTCCTCCTCCTCCTCCTCCTCCTCCTCCTCCTCCTCCTCCTCCCCTCCTCCTCCTCCTCCTCCTCCTCCTCCTCCTCCTCCTCCCCCTCCTCCTCTTCCTCCTGCTCCTCCTCCTCCTCCGCAAGGGCGGCCCTCCTCCGGAGCGGCCTCGGGTGCGGGCTCTCGGTGCCCCCGCGAGCGCGGAGGGCGTTTGCGACAGCAGCTGCCTGCGCGCTTGGATCTGGCCGCCTTGCACCCCCTCGGGCCTCGCACCAGAGGTCGCTCTGGCCCAGGGTCGCTGCTGCGTGTCGCCGAGGGGAGCGGACGACGACGGCAGCCTATCGAGTCGGAGGCGGACAGAACCCCCAACAGTGACACGTCGATTAGTGAATTGTCCGTTTTCGGTTCTCGAGAGGGCGCCGTGGCCGTTATTTTCCAGGCTTGCGCCCGCCAGGTTTGGGCCTCAGGTCGTTTTCACTAAACCACGTTTTACTAAAGGGGTGTCTGTCCATCCCCGATCGAGGCCAACGTGTCTGAAGTTAAGACAGAGAGCGGAGGACGAGGAGATTGGTTGCTGATACGACCCATGGCATGCTTGCAGCGAAACTTGACCCAACCCGGGGAACAAACTCATCATCACCACCATCACACTATGAATCCTTGCCGTCGGTTTCCGCTTCGTTTGGGTTGTCCTTATCCTTCACCCTCCGCCCTGGCTATTTATGAGTACCCCTGCCCGTCTGATCCTGCTCATCTTCCTATCTCGCCTCCTTCGGGCACTGTGTTGCGAGGCTGCAGTGATGTCATCATTTGCCTCATTATCTCTCCCTCCTGCTTCTCCTCCTCCTCCTTCTCCTCCCACTACGACTACTGCCATGATCTGCGCTCCTCCTCCTCGTCATCCTTTGTCTCTTATCCAGCTGCCTGCGGCAAACCCCGCCACCGTGCCAGCGCTACTGCGCAGAACGAAGGAGCTTGAATCTACGACCATCAGCAGCTCAGCACTCTTTCTGAATTGGACGTGTTTGGTGACCGTGCTCGGAGGTCGTGGAGGCCTGTTCGAGGCTTTCTGTTTAGCCTCTGGGGGACCCGTGGGGGTAGTGTGGCGATGCCCTGAGGTCCTCTGGCGGGCTCTTGTGGGCCTCTTGGAAGCACGTTGGAGGTCTTGGTGCCATCTTAGCGGGAGAGGCTCGGGCAAGACGCCCAGGCCGCTGTGCCGACATGCCTGGTGGTTCCGCAGGGTTGTGCGTGAGCGCCTTCTCTTCTCCATGCGGTGTGCCGGGCTGGCGCCCTGCAGCGGCCATCGCGCAAGGTCGCCGCGTCCTTGCGTGTCAGGCCGCTCTTCTCGACCTCCCAGAGAGCACAGCCACGACGAGGCCGCAAGGGCCCCTAGACAGCCTCTCACTCTCTCCTGGTCATCCTGCTGCCCTCCTCCCTTCCCTTCTCCCTCTCCTCCTCCTCCTCCTCCTCATCCTCCTCCTCCTCCCCCTCCTCCTCCTCCTCCTCCTCCTCCTCCTCCTCCTCCTCCTCCTCCTCCTCCTCCTCCTCCTCGTCGGTCCTCATCTTGCTCCTCCAATGCCCCCTCCTCCCCTGCGCGCGCTCCCGCGCGGGGCCGAGGAGGGGGAGGAGCAGGACCAGGAGCAGGAACGCAGGAGGACGGAGGAGGAGGAGGAAGAAGAAGAGGCGGACACAGGAGGAGGACGCAGGAGGACAGCCAAGAGGAGGACGACGACCGAGAGGAGAAGCAGGAGTGGGCGGAGGAGGAGGAGGAGGAAGAGGAGGAGGAGAGGAGGAAGGAGGAGGAGGAGGAGGAGGAGGAGGAGTGGGCGGAGGGATGGGCGGAGGAGGAGGAGGAGGAGGGAGGAGGGGAGGAGGAGGAGGAGGAGGTGCAGCGGGAGCAGGAGGAGGTTGCCGCCCCAAGGATGCGGTTCCGTCCTCCTCTTCCCCGGCGCGCCTCCTCCCCGAGAGTGCGGCGGGCGGCGCAGGGAGCTCCACTTCCTGATCCAGCGGCACCCGGCGCGGGCCGGGGCCCCGGCGCCGGCCCAGGCGGCCGAGCCGCCCGCAGATGGGTGGGGTCCTTGTCCTCCTTCTCCTCCTCCTCCTCCACTCCCCTCCCCCACTCCTCCTCCTCCACCTCCTCCTCCCTCCTCTCTCCTCCTCTCCTCCTCCTCCTTCGTCCTTCTGCTCATCTCCTCGTCCTCCTTCTGCTCCTCCTCCTCCTCCTCCTCCTCCTCCTCCTCCTCCACCTCCTCCTCCTCTTCCCCCTCCTCCTCGTCCTCCTGGTCCTCCTCTTCTCTTCCCTCCTCCTCCTCGTCCTCCTCGTCCTCCTCCTCGTCCTCCACCTCGTCCTCCTCCTCCTCCTCTCCTCCTCCTCCTCCTTCCTCCTCCTCCTCCCTCGTCGTTTTGGTGGCGCTCCGCGCGGATTTCTCGGATCCGCGCTGGCCCCCCCCCCGGGCCCCCCCCCCCCGGCCGGCGCCTCCGGCCCGCCCCCGGCGCGCCCCGCGCGCCACGGAGGGGGTCCCGCGGAGCGGAGCGTCACAAGTGTATGTTTATGGCTTTGTTGTTCCTCTATTCTCGTCGTGCTTACGGATGAATAGGTCGAGGATGATGGGCTTCAGCGAGCTGCCTTGCGCTTAGCTTGGCTGTACCACCTGCCAGGCATCATCCGGCACGGAATCGCAGCCATCGCCTATGTACGATGACAGCCTGCACACCAGTGCCCTGAGAGCTGCCCGTCAGCGCATCCAGGCCTGGAGTTGCCTTCCTGGGCTTGTAGTCCTCCTCCTCCGAATCCTCCTGGCATGGGCGATGCAGAGTCCAAGCCACGACAGCACGAACACTACAGCACCAACGGATTGCGATGGTCAGCAGCCGCCGGCAGCACAGAGTGGTGGCTATCACTCAGAGCGTGCATTACCTACCCCGCTTTCGCTTCCAGGCAAAACCAAGCCATACCACGCGCACCCTCGTCCAGCGGCCTGACCAGTACAGGCTGCAATTTGGCATCGTTTCGTATCTCTTGGAAGCGAGGGCGGTCAAAAGCGAGGTAGGCTTGCTTCCCCCCTAATCACGTGAGTCTGCCTGCGTTTCTCGTTTCCGAGGCCCCGGCCCCCACGCGGTGCCTCCGCAGGCACGGGCGGGCTCCCCTGTGGAGCGCGCACGTCTCCGTCGTGCGCGTCGCTCCCCCCCTCCGCCGCAGCATGCAGCAGGCAGGGCGGGGTGGGCCACTGCGGTCCGCCCCCATCCGGACCCCAGCAGCCTCGGAGGCTTTTGGAAAGGCCTATGGGGCCGACGAGGGGCTTAGGTCTCAAATAGGGGGCCACATGCGAACCCTACCCCTACCCCCCACGATTTCTGAGGGGGAGGGTGGGGTTCACTTCGTTCGGGAGCTCCCGAGCGAAGTGAATCCCACCCTTCCCCTCAGAAATCGTGGGGGTTAGGGGTAGGGTTCGCATGTGGCCCCCTATCAAAGGGCCACAAGGGGCTCCCTCAGGCGCTGCTGCCATCTCGTCTCGAGCCGCTCGAGCGGTTCCCAAGGGACGCGGACGGGCGTCCACCGCATCGCGCCGCTAGCTGTCTAACGCTGCCGCCGAGCCGCTGGCCAGGCTTGGGGGAACAAAAAATGACAAACATGAAAACTCGCGCTCCGCGCGCCAGGGGCGGCGCTGGAGGCGCCGCTGGGGGGCCCTTTCGCGGATCCGAGAAATCCGCGCGGACCTCCGAGTTTTTATGTTTATGTAGTTCTTCGTTCCCCTAAGGCTGCTCGCTCGCTCGCTCCTTGTCCGCAGCCTCCCGGCATGCGTGGGGGGTGTCCCTTAGGGCGTGCTTTGTCACCGGCGGGAGTCCGGTGCTCTCGAGCGGTCTCCGCGGCCCCCTCGCACCGCGGGAGGCGTGAGCTGGCCGCACGCAGATCCCCCGACCGACAGAGCCCTGCGGGAGAGGGAGACAGTAGTCAGAGCGTGAATTACCTACCCCGCTTTCGCTTCCAGGCAAATCCAAGTCATACCACGCGCCTCCTCGTCGAGCGGCCTGACCAGCGCAGGCCGTAGTTTGGCGTCGCTTGGTATCTCTTGGAAGCGAGGGTGGGCACAGAGAGTGGCACAAACGTAAAAACTCGGAGGTCCGCGCGGACCTCCGAGTTTTCACGTTTGTGTCACATTTTGTTTCCCTATAGAGGGAGGAGGGGAGCGGGAAGGGGGGAGACAAGGAGGAACGGGGTC